ATATATTTTTTTTCCCACTATTTATAAACGATTACGAAATGTACCACTAAATAATGTTATACATCCACATGTTTTATCACAAGATGATAAAGCTAAGCAAGGACAATCTTATCCCTAGTTGGCTTGAAGTAGTACTTAATCACTTTCACCCATTGATGGTTGACAATTGTAGAGTTTCAATTTTATATCCCTAATGATATCACTTATCTTTGTGTCTCTCTTTAACACCATAACAAAATATATATGTGATGTAAGATAAAATAAAGGGTCATTTTGCCTGTGTTCCATGAGCAAAATAGGATGAATAGAGTACATAGTAAATGACTTTAGGAAATATTCTGGCTAAGATAAAATAATGCTGATAAACGGGCATGGACCACACCGTCACAACTGTCCACTTTATACGACCAAGGAGGTTCTACCTCAAAACCATATGGCAATAAGGAGAGTAGCCCCTTAGCCTTATAAAATAGATACAACTTTCTTATTTCTTCAATGTGAGATACACATCCCAATACAAACTCTCACTTATAAACTCAACAAATGTGGGACAACACACCACTCACATGTGGGTTTTCTCATGGGCTCAACGTATATTCTATCCTATGCAAATCATAACTTAACATAATTATCATAGCTTCACATATTTCTATCTTAACAACTTTGCATTTGACCTTTTTCATACAAAATCATTAACTTTTTGGTTGGAACTTGAAATTGGACAACTAAAAAATAAGACAAAGAAGTGATAATTTGGACTTCGTTAGCTTTTGCCATATATTAATTGTTTTTCTCAATCGCATAACAAATACATACAAACCAATAAAATTCAACTGTAAAAATTAATTCCTAAGTTTTTAAATAAGTCATACGACATCTACAAAGAGATTTAGATCTAACAAATACATAATAATTGAATCAAATAAAAACATTCTGTAAGCAAAGCTACGATCGTTAGTTGTTACAAATCGTACATTCTTCATACCCTCTTTCATATCGCTGTGATTTACAACCTTCTTTGGCGAGGGGGTCTATCGATCTGTTGTAGTCGTGCAGAAAATGTCCGTCTGATTCGTTTGATTGTTGTCGAAATATTAATCTCCTTTTCAATCCCGCACAAAATTTTACCCATGAAACAACTCTATAGCAATCCATGAAATAAAAAAGTAAATCCTCCCTCAAAAGAGAGAAGAAAAACCCGGTCTTTCGAAGGAGCCAAATCCTCCTAAAGAAGAAGAAAAAACCTGTCTTTCGAGGGAGATATATTCCTCCTAGAAGAGGAAGAATTATTATAAACCTAAAGCAAGAGAAAAGGCACAAAAGAAACAACGATTGGGGCTTTCCACCGGTAAATCCGATGGAAGCCCCTTCAAAATTCAACAATGGAGGCTAGGGTTTAGAGAGAGAAGAGAAGAAAGAGAGGCTAGGGTTTTTTTAAATAAGTCCTAATTAAGTTAATAAAGCTTATCTTTTGTTGCAATCAAGTAGGCATTATTTTCAACTATACAATATTGGTCGTAATTGTTTGAGAAATCCTCTTATCCATAAACCATTTCCACAGGCTATCAAGTGGCACAACAAATTAAATTAAAACTTGACTCGATTTATTATCACCCATAGTAAAACGACTAAAACATATATATCGGTTTATAACGCTTTTACATGTGAAAAATTAAACGTATAGGATGACGAGTTTCAAACTTGATCATGACTTTTTCATATAGTGCAAAAAATAGGTCGAATCAATATTGAGTAACCTCATTTAGACGCCACGTGTCCACACCACATCCTATCATATAAGAGACTCTTAATCTAGCCAATTAATCTTACTATCCTAGGAATGAATTATGTTGCATTGAACATTTTACATGTGCGTGCAGATGTACTGGCTATTGTTGCAAGCAACTTGCCAAAGGTATCTTTCTAGTACTATAAATAACGTATGCCCACTTTCCAAATGTGTGTAACCAAAAACCTCTCATTCAACAATATAGTTGATCAACTTAGTTTGAAGAGAAAGAGAGAGAAAAAATAAAAATAAAAATAAAATCACTTATTTTTTTGTTTCCTAAAATGAGCAAAGTTTGTAGCCTTCAGCCTTCTATTCTTGTATCCAAAAACAAAATATGTAACAATGAAAAAAAGGGAAGAAAAATGATTAAATATGCTACTCCTTTTAACTCACTTAATTGTTCATTATCAATGAACCACACTAGTAGTACCAAAAGTAGTACTGGAAAATTTGGGAAATTTGGTGGGAAATATGTGCCTGAACTTTTAGTGACATGCTTGAACGACCTTGAAGATGAATTCTACAAGGCCCTTAATGATGTCGAGTTTCAGGTTAGTTTTTCGTCGTTTAATTGAATAAAAGTTGGTATGTACGTAATTACAACCATCATTGGTACGGTATATACAAGTAATGACTGAATGATGATATTTTAGTTTTTCATTCCAATCCAAATTTAAAAATACTACGTGTATATACCAATACGTTGTTAGCTTGTTACCAATGTTCGTGCATTTAGATGTATGGAGTAACTTTTTTCTTTAATTTTTCGAGTGTTTGGCAATTATATTATTTCTTTCATTTCAGGAGGAGCTAAGGAGTGCTCTAAGGGACTATGTAGGACGCGAAACACCCTTGTACCACGCACAAAGGTTATCGGAACACTACAAGGACAAAGACGGGCGTGGACCGGAAATATACCTAAAAAGGGAGGATCTAAACCACGGAGGTGCTCACAAGATCAACAACGCTCTTGCGCAAGCCATGCTGGCTAAACGTATGGGACGTATGAGCATTGTCACGGCTACAGGCGCCGGGCAGCATGGTGTGGCCACTGCTGCCGTGTGCGCCAAGCTCGGTCTCTCTTGTACCATTATCATGGGTAGATTGGATATTGAGAGGCAACCATCTAATGTACGCCTTATGAAGCTTCTTGGAGCACAGGTAAATATTTCTCAATAACTTTGTTAAGTTTAATTTAGAATGCTCTATAATTTTAGTCTTTAGTACTATGTATATTACTTACACGCACTATCTCATAGGATTGGAGATATTCATTCTTGATAAACTTTAACTTTTGATTATGTTCACATATTTCAAATTGATTTTTTTTTTTTAATGAAATTAAAGAAGTTATTGATTGAAATTGTATATCAACAAATTAAGATTAAAACTCATTAACCATAAAAGAAGAAAACATTGTTTTGTACATGAAAATTTTGCAGTAATCATTCATAACACGACTGTCATTATGCTTAATTTCAAGTCGATTTGCTATACTTTATCCATTTTTTTATTATTGCACCACTTGCCTTTTTAGGAAGTTTCACAAATATTGCCCCATTTCCTCTTTAGGAAAAAAATTATTTGTGTTCACACTACAAATACCCAACATACCCTTGTTTTTTCACGCTTACTTTTTAATTTTTCAATATGTCACATGGACAATTTTGTATTTTTACCTTTCTCTCTCTTACTTTTTTCCACTACCAAAATATTTGTATCCAACCTATGGTGCAATAATAAAAAAAAACGGAGGAAGTATATTGTTTTGTTAGTCAAACTTACAAACTAAACATATTTTTTTTGTTCTTGTAAGAGAAAAAAAATAAAAATAAAATAAAAATAAATTTCTTCTTTTTCTTAGAAATTAATTTTTTAAATGTTCGATTTTTTTTTTTTTTAAGTTCCAGAAAAGTAAATTTTAATCATAGAAGCATCAATTTTATACAGGATAATTTTGTACCTTATTTTCTTTCACGAGCACAAAGGGAACAAGTAAAAGAACATTACAATCTGTGATAAATTAGAAGTTGACACTAACAATTGTGGGGTAGCAAAACAATAACTTTTATGATGTCAACAAGATTAGTGTACGTGATGTCATGCACTCATGACTCATATTTGTATTTGTAATTGACTAATTATATTAACGATCTTGCTAACGAGCGCCTCGGGGCGTTAGATAAGGATAAATTATATTGGTTGAAATGGTATTAAGTTAGGAATTCATGACAGAATCACGCGTCGTTCGGTATAATTGATGTTAATTTTACTTTAATATTTGCACTTTAATTCTCTTATCTAACTCCCCGGGGACGCTCATTAGCTTTTGCCATTATATTATTACAATGTAATTAATTGAGATAGCAAGTGACTAGTATCGCATCATAGATATTATTCCGTATGGAGTACTTTGTATTACAATAATAACATCAAATTTTTTACAATGTAAATCAATTATTGTTAGAGATATGAGATACCGGAAATATATACTACGTATTATTTTTACCGTCACATCATCAACCACATGATTCGAAGACAAATTTTTAGTTGTCATCCGGCCCTATAGCATCTTTTTACCATGTCCTTGAGTTGATATGCTTATACTAATGAAAACATGTTGAATGAAGGTGAAATCGGTAGATGGGAACTACAAAAACGCAAGTTCAGGAGCAGTCCGAGAATGGGTGGCAAACTTAGAGACCAGTTATCACTTGCTAGGGTCGGTCATCGGGCCACACCCATGCCCAACGATGGTTCGAGAGTTTCAATCAGTCATAGGGAAGGAAGTGAGGAAACAAGCAATGGAGAAATTGGGTGGGAAACCGGACGTTCTGGTGGCGTGTGTAGGAGGTGGATCGAATGCAATGGGTTTGTTCCATGAATTCATAGAAGACGAAGGGGTGAGATTGGTTGGAGTAGAGGCTGCCGGATATGGATTAGAAAGTGGATGGCATTCAGCTACCTTATCTAAAGGAGAAGTAGGTGTTTATCATGGAGCTATGAGTTACTTGTTACAAGATGATGATGGTCAAATTGTAGGTCCGTATTCAATTGGTGTTGGGTGAGTATACATGCACTACTACATTTGAATCGATACTGTCGTTTATGGTTATGCATAAGTTTTTGGACAGACATTTCTCTCGGAAAAAGAGTGATAAACAATGACTGATCCTCAAGATGTATTGTACCCGAATGACAGATAATATGGAAAGAAAACAAGCTTGCTATCAAAACATTATAGTGGCAACATTAAGGAGGTTCAAATGTCAGCATCATTACAAGTTAAATAGACTAGACAACACTAATAGGGTGACTATTCCATAAACCTTGACAAACCTACAAATAATCTCATAATCTACTAAATAATCATTACATGCACATAGACTGGACAGACTAAATGAAGTACAAAGCTTTAAGATAACTGAATTATGATTTCCTTGAACTTGCAGATTAGAGTGTCCAGGGGTTGGACCAGAGCTCAGCTACCTCAAGGACAGCGGACGAGCAGAGTTCCATGCAGTTAGAGATGAAGAGGCCCTACATGGTAAGCAACACATCAAAGCATAATGGGAAGGGAGGGACAATATTCTTGTTAATAGCTAGAGAGAGGACATGGCCCTCCTAGTTCCTCTCTTGCTTTGGACATCTGTATACTTTTCTTTCGTTTAACGAGTTCTGTAGCTTTCAGAACCCCAACTGTCTTTACTTTAGCTCATTCATCGTGATAAGGATATATATACATTTAGTGGACATGGAGTATTCCCTTTAATAAAATCTTCTCTCTTAAAATATTTTTCAAATTTAATAGACAGGCTTTGGATAAGACAGAGGGAATACTGCATGTACACTAAAAAGTATTATGGTCCCAATTGGCCTTTTCTAAGGGAATGGAAAGTTAATACAAATATACAATTTAAGAGGGTAGATCCTCTAACCTGAATTAAATATGCTGTTTGTCTTGCAGCATACAAGAGGTTGTGCAGGTTTGAAGGAATTTTCCCGGCCCTGGAAGCCTCGCATGCAATTGCTGCCCTGGAGAAATTGTGCCCTACTCTGCCTCATGGCACCAAAGTTGTGGTCAACTGCAGTGGTCGTGGTGACAAGGATGCCGCCACTGTTCAGCAGCTTGACCAACTTCTCTTATTTAATGCTATGGTGGGAAAAAATGATACATCAAACAGCTCTAAACAGCCCTCACTATGCACTGACTGCAGCGATAATCCATCTGAAGAACGTATAAGTTTTGGCACAGAGATTACAAAGGCCTTGCACTAGAAGAAACGGCTACGCATGTAGCCGGCATATATTAGAAAGAAAATTTTAGGCTGGTAACACTAACAGTCTAACACTAGCAGGTTAGCTAAATAATATCGTAGAAGAGGGTGTGGAGATTACCTGGAAGATAAGACTAGTTCAGTAGTTCTACCTCCTCTGTATATTTGTAATCAAGTCCACAACGACGGTCTTCTCTTTGCTGAAGTCATCATATACACATAAATAAATAACAAATATTTAAATAGGCATAGTGGTGGTGAAAGAAAGTATAGACTAGAAGAGAAAGGTATTCTCATAACTTAGTGTGGCTAGCTACTGTAATTCCAAAATATGCAATAAAATATATGCTGAAGAGGTGAGAATAACTCTAATTTTTCAGGCTAGCAAGTACAGTAATACATATTGAAGCCTTTTGCAGATAAATGACATGACACCGGGGATAGCTGTAACCAGCTGCTTCCCATTCAAGACGGCAAGTTCATATTTTGGGCAGTAGCCTTCTCTTCACATCAAAAAACTGATTAACGAGTTCAAAGGCCAACTCTTCATGGAATATTTATTTCATCTCAAATAACACCAAACTAATTGCAAGTTTACTTTATAATGGACCAACAAGCTTAATTAATACTTGTATAATAACATTTGGCACTTAGAATCCAAAATTCAGAATCCATAGTTCCTTCAGCAGTTCAGCCTAGTATTCATCCACACAAGGCATATGCATGTGAAGAGAAGGCCCTATGTATGAGGCACTCAACCACGAATCTTCAGGGTTTGTTTCATTGCAAGACTGAAAATTTTCACAACATTTGGCAAATAGAATCCAAACATCAGCAGTTGAGAATCCAAAGTTCCTCCCACAAAATCAATAACATCTACATACCAATTACACATGTCTTGCAAGGAAAGCAGAGTCTCACGAACATTATAGATCATGCGGCAATGTTTAAGGCACTTGAGCACGAATATTTGGAATTTGTTTTATCGCAGGGAAGAAGTACTCACAGCCCATGTTGAGCAAAATATTTTAATACCATCAGCAAAAAAATAAAACACGGTGATCCCAATACCTTTGTGGCATTCAATAAATTTTTTTTTTAAAACCAACTTATAATAAAAAAAAAAAAAAAAGCATTTACTAGTACTAAGGCTTCGTTCTTTTCACCTTAGAAGTATAAATTTACAAGAAACATAAGTCAAATTTGGGGCAATAAATTCAGATAAAAGCTATCACATTCAGTTTACAATTGAAACAATGTGTATCATTTCAGATAAGTTTCAGTAAAAGTCAATTACTAAGTTAAGGTGTGTTCAAGTAAAAAGAATGCAGCCTAAATCACTATTTTAGAACACGCAAAAAAGACAAAGCAGAACCTCATATGCCTAAAAAGCACCAAGTGTAATGAAAGATAAAGTGCTTAGCAGGAAAATTTTGTTCTCAGTCAATTAGATTCTTAAACAACTTCTTTATGAAGGATATTGATGTGTTGCTTGGGAGTGAATCACTCACGACCCAATACTATAACTGATAAATAGATTAGCGAAGAAATAAAGGTTGCCTTATAAGAATCTTCCTGTCACCAATCACTTGTTTAAATTTAATCAGAGTTAAGTGTAAAGTGACTATAAATTCTGGTTTAATTAGATTTTGTTCAGGCCACAGAAGACAAAAATGTTACCAGTTGCCCCACTTATAAATGTAGAAACAAAAATAGGAAGAACTGACAGTAAAATGATTAGATTAGAGGAAATCAGATTATTAACACAGTACATTTCAACCTAAAGACACATCCTGAGACTCATGATTATAGCCTGATGGCCCTATTACACAACAAAATACATGTACCTGTTTGGTAAGTAGGTGGTAATGGAAATAAATTTCAAAATTTGTAAATACATTTGAAATGAAACGTCTATGCCAATACCCATGAAAAAGTTAGATCACCCCAAAGTATCTCTTCATTCATAATTCATTACCATACATCACCAGTTAAGGGAGAGGTATTGGGTGGTAATAGATAATTATGAATAAATAAACACATGTTTGGGGATGAGGAAACATACTTACATTATCATGGTCATTTGCATGATAGATTCATTGCAAAATTACATATTAATTCATAATCCATAATCGCCCTTTATAACTTCCTACTAATGGGCTGTTTTTGGTATTCAAACACTGCCTAGATCCCAATAACCAGCTACGAGACAAGTTCCAGAATTTACAAAACTATGAACTAGCCTATGCAAGTATTTAGTACTCCCTCCGGCTCAATTTACTTGCCCCATTTGACCTAAAAAACAGTCAAATGAGGCAAGCAAAATGAGATGAAGGGAGTATAAATTATACTTCGTATTAGCTACTAATAACAAATTAGTAAGTCAACAATATTGATCAAGGATGATTACTGTTTTAAAAGCAAAGAAAGTACGCAACCGTAAACATAACTATCATCTCAACTTCTCAAGTCATAAGCAAATTATACAAGCAACTATCAAGCTCTGTTACCTTAAGGACAGCGACTGTGTAGAATCTCCACATTGTCAGAAACATAATTCCAGCAGTAAGCAGCACACAAACTGTCAATTTAACAAAACAAAATATTAAATATCAGGCTAAGTACATAATAAAGGAACTAAGAAAGAGAAAACACTGATCCAAGAAACAAATTCTCTTATGGCATTCACAGCACAAGTTGGTACTAAATTACCTATGGACAGCTTCACTTAAATAAGCAATGGTTGGCTTACAACCGTATTATAGTTGTCTGGTAACAATTATAACAATCATCAAAGAGTGCCGACTATCTCAGGGAATACCAATGAGCAACAAAGTACTCAAAAAACAGCAAATTTTGCTTTCTCTCAACAGTTTTAATTCATCAAATTGAGGAATCAAGTTATGCACACAGCATCTTCATAGTCAGTAGACAAGATGTGAAAGAATGCCTCTTACCTCTTAACTTTGAATTTCTCAGACCCTTTCCAACAGTATCTCCATGAAATGCATCAAAGAAACAATATAGTTCCAGTAAATAAACTGGAATTTCATGATTGACAAATGTTATCAAATTCCGTCGAGAGAGAGAGAGATAGATTATTGAATGATAATGTAAATACCAAAAATAGCACCATATCATGTTAAAGCATGGTGGAAATGAGTTTGGGGTTTACAGTTCATTATTCCTCAATCTGCTCTTCAAAGAATCAAACACAAAGTATGTTGTATTACTTGTATTATATCTCACAACATTCCCTGTAACAAGTTTCATCAAAGATAATAAAATTTTCAGCTTGCCCTACAGAGATACAAGATAGACTACGTTAATATCAAAAAAACGGCAGAGAAGAATCTAGGGTACCTGACCCCTGGTTTTCTTCAGGAGAATCCTAACTAATGATCGGTTAGGTTCTCAATCCTCAACCAATATGACAATGCTTTTGTATAACCTTAGAGAGAAGTTGAATCAAGTAATTTCTCAAATAGTCACTCTGATACACAGTTACATAAGGGTAAAAATTTACTGATCACAAAAGTGTTCAATAATGTTCCTCTAAACACCACCAGCTGACAAATTGCAACACTACCACCAACCAGAATGGATGTTCCTCCACCTTATACAGTCATTTACCATTTGCTAAAAGTGTCTTCAATTCTTCATGATAGCTAGAGCCCAGAGCTACCACACCTTTCTGGCATGAATACTGTTTTGATGAAGCTTCTTATATTAGCCACCCTAGCTTGAAAATCAAACAGAAATTTTTATTTTTCTGTTCCACTCGTAGCTAGAAAGAATAGAGCAACATTTCTTCTTTGTATCTTCATCCCCTAAGCAAATGATGACAGCTCTTAAAGCAGGTCACTTGATCAGTCAAAATTCCCTCATCTAAGCAGTAGAAGTCCCTTTTACCCTACAAATATAAGCTCTACAGAGCTCAGGTAACTTATCTTTGTAGGGTAGCACAAACTTGTTTAAGAAAAAAGACTCACAGCTGCATACAGCCGTCAACATTCCCACTTTAACAGTGACAAGTTTCCTCTCTTCCAAGACCTTTAATATAGTATAGCGCGGCAAAACCCTATCAGTCATACTATATGACATCACATACGAACGATTTGCTAAGTACCCTGGTTGGCATCCCAACTCATTGATGAAAAAATTCAAACGCTCACGAATGTTTTCTCCGACAACACCAAACACCGCGGTGTCTTCCTCATCATAACCTTAATATCAGAATCAGTCCATCCAAAGCTCCTGAAAATCCCATACTTAGTTTCCAGGGTTTTCTCACTCAACGAAGCTAGCAATACAACAGCATCAGAAAACTGAATCAGCTTGGGAGGAATCCCAAACTCCTCATGGACCCTCTTTACAATCTCTTCAACCCTTTTAGGATCATGCCCAAATATCTCAGTATATTGAACTAAAAGAAACAGAATTCTTTCATTACTGAAACCATACTTTCTAAACAGCTCTATATTAGGCTGTAATCCTGCAGAAATATCAACACTCATCAACCAGTATGATCTCTTCAAAAGTTTGAAGAATTTTTTGTCATCACCCACAATTGATTTCACATAACTTATCATGGCTATAATCCGATTGGTAAAATCCCTTCTTAAAATTGTAGAATTTGAAGAAACAATATCAGCCAAATCAGAACCAGAAATACCCAATTCTTCTAAAGCTTTAAATTTAGGAATTAGGGTTCTATCAACACTACATTTCAGCAAAATTGGCAAAGAAAGTATAAGTCTTTTCATCTGGGTATTGCTAAATCCTCGTTGTTTCAAGCAATCAACAACTAAATAAGGGTTTTGAGTGGATTTAATGCGATTTGATTTACTAACCTTACTCCAGGAAATAGCTGCTTCTTCCCTTGAAAAACCCAGAGATTTAACCATGAAATCCACCATAGAAGAGGGAGAATTTTCAGTTGCAGAAGATGTTGAGTATAGAAACAAGCGATTGAGGTGGAGAGAGAGATGGGTCCGGAATTGGACGCCATTAGAGCACAGTTTCAGCATTGCATTTGCGATTCAAGTATTCAACCCATTAGGTTTGGTTGAGGTTTGGGTTTTGGGTTTTGGGTGACCAAACCGTATCAAAAATAAAAGTTTGGGTACATAAATTGTTTGGGCAACGCCCTCACTGGACCTAACGAATGTCACACATAACATAATTTATCACCCAAAAATCCTCTAGTTTGGGTACATAAATTGTTTGGGCAACGCCCTCACTGGACCTAACGAATGTCACACATAACATAATTTATCACCCAAAAATCCTCTAAACGAGAATTTGATCTTAGACGTCCCTCTCATAGATGTGAAGTATCACCCCTAGGGTCACCCCTCATACAAGACACAACCAAAACTAAGCTCTTAAAATAAAAGTTTTACTAAAAATTTCATTTTGCTCATACAATTACAACAAACCTTACACAATATATAGTACACAAATTCATACTTGAACCACCAAGACTAGCTACCAAAGGATCATTGATCATGGAAATAAAAATTATTTACCACTGCACAGAATAGAAATGATGAACTAATCGGAACCATCGCGAATTCGCTCGTGCACCCACAACCACAACAAAGTTGAAGAACAACACCAAACTAAGGCAGGACTAGTCAGCAAGTAATCTTCACTCCAACCATCTCAATTTGACCATTATCACCAGTACTTACGCTTGTCTCCGTAGAAGTGATGCTATCTGTTAATTATTAACATATTATAATAAATGAGTGACAACCATATATGTAATTCTAATAAATTATCAACATATTTTTTTTTGTTTTTTTTTTTTTTTTTGACAAGAATTATCAATATATGTTGACATAAAGTGTGAATGAAAATGTCTAATCGTTGCAAATAATTTGAAAAATGAATGTAATAAATAACGTACTGCACCTAGCTAAATAAAGCTTAGTGCAAGCATGCACACACCTTCAATATTATTATTACTATTGTTGCAGCATTTCCAGATCTTATAAGCCACACAAATTAGCATGATGAACGACGATGGCCACACGATCTTCCCAACATTACTCCATTGTAGAACGACCAAGGTACCATCTTGACCATCTGTATTCAGAGGCGGACCTGGCCTTGTGCCTAGTGGGTCAAGTGACTCACCAGGGTCCAAAAAAAACTAAGTTTTTCCTTTTAAAAAAAATGTCATGATTGGGCGCTATTGCTTACTGCACATATGCTTGCCGAGGTCTTGGGCTTAAAAGACGACTAGCCTGGCTTTGTTCTGAAACTTGTGGCTTGGCCCATCTTTGAGTTGGATAAAGACAAGAAGGGATGGGTCAGCCTTGATTATACCAACCCAAGGAAAAGTATTCGGGTTTTTAAATTTATAATTAATGTATAATTGATAATTTTTTAATTTATTGTATATATTGAGATTTTTGTTTTGTGTGTAATATTAATATTTTGGTGTTAGAATTTAGAATGTTAGGTTATTAGAGATTTTAGTTAGATATCTAATTTATTTTTTGTATTACTGATTTACTAAATAAAAAACTAGAATATTACTAAGACTAGTATTGTAATAAATTAATACTAAGACTACATTGATCCTTCTGATAGTGACTGTAAGTGTGGAATGAATGTTTTCATTATTAATGACTTATGTAAAAAATAAAATAAAAAGTCTTATGTAAAGAAAAAAAAAAGGTTGCGGAATGGTATAAACGGTAAACTATTGAATGATAGTTTAAGTCACTTTTCTTGAGATTGACTTATTTGTTAGATTTAGTGATAATGATTTATTGAAAAGCTTTCAAAGTATGAAAACTCGAAAAATGCTTTTGTAGTATTTTTTTTTAATTGCATTCTCTCTCCTCCCATCTCAAGCTCAAAAAGTCGCTGTTTTTTTTTTGTTCATTCTCCATTGCACTGAAACTGGTTGATGATTTGCTTCTGAGAAAGAGGGTACACGAACAGAGGATATATGGTTTTTGGATGTATTTTTTAGTACTATTATTTGGTTGGTAAAACATTTTTTTTTACATATTTGGTTATTGATTATGACTCACCAGTCGGAAATTCCTAGGTCCGCCACTGTCTGTACTCTTCACGGTCTTTGAATAACTTGGTGGTTCATCGCGAATAGCAAGCACCGAGGGAGAGAGGATCAGTAGGATAACAACAAGAGAAATTGCATAGGACGGCTTTGACATTTTTGCTTAAGAAAGATAAAAGAAAGGAAGAGTTTATTTGAAATGCTAAGTTGTTAATGAACTTTTTAGCTTGATATGTGTTATATATATATACATATAGTCTTATTTGAAATGTTGGGAAATTAGTCAAATTACCGCCAATTCTACGTGTGTATTAAGTGCCTAGCCTGCCTACATATAAATAAAACAAAATAATTAAAAAAAAAAAAAGTTTATTTGGACCTTGGAAGAATATAATAGTCAATTGCCAAGGTCCATATGTATGCTGATTATAATGTAGACAACATTATAAAATAGAAGCTTCATATGGAGAGGCATAACTAACTGCCAAATTTCTTCATTTGAAAAAAAAAAATAAGTAAATCAAATTTTCTTTTGTTGCTCATTTTGTAATAAATAAATAAGTATAGTTCTTCTGTTTTTTTTATACTTGCAACAGTTTTACTTTTACACTATATACTTGTTTCACTTTGAATAGCTTTAACGATTTATGCGTAAGTAAAACTAAAGTCATGTGGGATCTTGCTAGATTCATATCGAATTATTCAATATTAATAGCAAGTGTTTATAATTTTTATATATTGGTAAAGATATAAACGATTAAAAACATGTATTGACAAACGTGAAAAGAAAAATATTACAACTAATAAAAAATGGGAGCAAGTATAAATTAACTTTTACAATGTTAAAGCTGCCACAAACTAATAAAATGAACTTGTAAATATGTCATGCATTACTACTGTAGTTGATATGATAAAGAAACAAGCCAATATATTACACCATTGTTTCTCTCTCTTTCTACTGTTGTGGACCAACCTGTGACAACTCCGTAGCATAAGAAATTTTGTTCAATTTATAATTTTGACGAAATCAATTAATTAAAATTAGAAAAAATTAAAGACAGAAAAAAGGGTCACAAACTCACAACTCACAACATTTAGAGGTTCAGGTCCATTTTTTATTTTATTTTGTTATTTTGTTTTTTATAATAAACTATAGGAAAAATACACTTTAATAATCTCAACTATGGACGATTTATCTACAATAATCTCAACTAACGTTTATTTTACAATAATCCCAACTATTGGGTCAGTTTTCCTCCAGCAGTCCCAAAAACCGGTTACCTGCTGAGAGGGTAAATTTTTTTTTTTTGTTTTTTAAATGCCACATGTCATCACATGATTGGCTTATTTAAAAAATAAAAAAAAAACAAAAATCGAATCAGCCCAACCCAGCCAACCACCGCCGTTCCCAGCCACCCACAGCCAATCGGAACTGGCCGACCACCTCCCTAACTTCCCGAAAACGGCCGGTCGGCCCTCCCTACCCTCGAAACACACACCCCCGATCAACCCCAACCCCCTAAAACCACTCTCCTCCCTTACAACCCCTTCGCCGGAAAATCAATTCAAAAAAAAAAAAAAAAATCAACCACTCCTCCTCCCTTCCTACACCCTTGAAACTTCCCATGGGGGCGAATTCGAGGGTTGGGGAAAGAAGGAGGGTCGTTTTTGAGGGTTAGGGGAGACGGATAGCCATTTTTCGAGGGGTTGGGGGTTGGCCCTAGTGTTTTGCGGTGCGATTTAGGGCCGCTGCTGGTGGTTTCACGGCCAAGTTTCGGTGTTTTGGCCGGTTTCGGGGGTGCGGCTGGTCTTGGGAGTCGTTTTCGGCGTGGGTGGCTGGAGAAGGTGGTGTTTTAGGGTTGCAGCAGGAGGTGGAGGTGGTGGTGGTTAAGGGCTGGAATGGTGGCTGCCGGATTTTTTTTTGGTTTTTTGTTTTTTTTTGTTTTTTTATTTAATTTTTTTAGAACCACTCACACACTGACACGTGTCAAACAACCTTCAATAATAGGTTGTTGACTTTTGTTGACCGGTTTGGGACTGCTGGAGGAAAACTGACCTAATAGTTTGGATTATTGTAGAATAAACGTTAGTTGGGATTATTGTAGGTAAATCGCCAATAGTTGGGATTATTAAAGTGTATTTTTCCTAAACTATAAAGCGACAGATAAAGGAAGAATCTTACTAGTTGGTATCATCTTGAGTTCTTGACCCAATAACCGCACACATAATATTATGCAGCTGGCTATTATGCTAGATTGCTAGGTTACTTTCATCAAATGTTGTTATTGTTCGCGTAGTTTCTTTGAAAAATACCATGGTGTGCTTATATCTTAGCTTCGTAATCCCAAATCCTACCTCTCGTTTAGTGGCTATAATAGATGAGAATAACACCTAAACATAAAGACTAAATGTTAAACTTTATAGCTCGGGAAATACAAGCGAGTTTAGTATTATCGCGTTTAAATGAATTACGCGTCATTTCTTACGGAGTATGTATAAGTTTTTAAGAAGCAAAAAAAGATAGAAAGGCAATGCCTTTAGTAATTTTTTTTTTATTTTTTAAACTACGGAGTATGAATTTATGAGTGTTGTTTAAAAGAAAAAGAGTCCCAGACATATTGATAATCAAAGGGGATTATAGATGTTGATAAAATGACTAGGAAGCTAGACTAACATAAAACCAAACTGGCACAAGAAGTCAATAACTAGGAAGTTAAACAAAAGTATAAATGAAACATTGCTTATAAAACAGACATTAAACTGAAATTAATAACAGCTTTAACCAATTTTAAAGCGAAGAATACTCAATAATTCAAACATTGATATAGCATAATGTTTCAGTGACAGTAATTACAAGCCACAATATTTTGTAGAAAATTTTGCATGAATAACAGGGCACTCTTCCATTTCAGTAAGCTGCACATATCCTAGCAAGATGAGCTCTGAATACAATGGAGGAATCTGCTAAGAGCCCTGATTGCCATGAACCTTCCCTGCAATCGAGGTACAAGACAGTAGTATTTGCAGATAATTTGCGACGCACAAGATAATTTGCAGATAGTTCAACCTGAATAAGTGTAGAGAATGATAGGAAAAGAGGGGAGGGGAGAAACATTTTTTCAGAAGGGGTGGGGGTGGGGTGGGGTGGGGAAGGGAGGGGGGTAAAAAAT